CCACCATCCTTGCTTTGGTAATATGTCTGGTGTTTTTGACGACATTTAACCTCTGGACTTGTCTATATGTATTGCATGTATGAAAATTATTCCATGTATTCGAGACGGTTGGTATGGCATTGACGTAGCGACACTAATAGTGGACGCTTCTGAGCCTAGAGATGTGTTTGAAATCGACCATTGGGTAGGTCAGCATCGATTTATAACTTTGGGGTCTGTAGAAAATGATAGAGTGGAATTTTTGAATAGGGTAGTAAATTTATGGGATCAATATACAAGCTCCCAGTGGACTATGAATAATGGACTGTATGGAGTTGAGGAGCCTTGGGGACAGTATTTCCAAAATTAATTATCAAAGACCAAGGGGTGGAATGATATAGAATTATTATATTTGTACTTTGATAATGTCTTATATACTCTTTATGTAACCTTCATAATCTGTTATATAATCTGATCATGCTCTGAGTTCGTGATAGGTATTGTTGTACACGACTTAAGCGCGTGGACAGTGGCTGGTTGTCACGTAGCTGATCACGCTCTAAGTTCATGCTAGATATTTTTGGACGCATGGACAATAGAATGGTCATTCTGTGTTTCATAACCTGATTGTTATTAGTTCGATAGTGAGGGTCGTGTTGTACCTTGAAGAGGTCATTTTGACCTGATTCGAACAATGGCGGGAATAAGTGGTCAGATATGAAACGGGAAGTGGCTGCACTATTCTTGGAGAATCTGCCTGGGAGAGAGGAAGTGGCCATTCTTCACTCTCACACAAGAATGCTTGTTAAAGAGTATAAAATCGAGGTAGTCCCTCGTCTTGGCAGAGTCTGCCGTGGGTCACGTACAGACGCCCGGCCACGTGATTGCTGCTCTGCCCGGACTGATGGCTCTCCAGTCCATGTGTCAAGGTAAGAGCGAAAGATATATTAGAGGACAATATATATAGCATCACGTATCAGTGTGTGAATGATTGCTTTGCTGTGCAGCACTGCTTTGCTGTAATCTGTGGGGAATAAAAGACACATTTATTCTAGCAGACCAGCGTGTTGACTCATTCTTGTTGCTGATCACTTCCGATCCTGTCTAAAATTTCACAAAACAATATGCAAATCGATGCTTAAAGTGCAGTGCTACATAAAGTGCTTGTTAATAAAGTGCAAAAAGTGCTCTTACAGTTCTATACAGTGACTTAAGAAAAAATTGTTCCAGTAATGAAAATATTTTCATTACAGTTGCAGTTTATTTTTGCATGCTTGACTAAGATAGTCCTCTCCTTGGGCTGGCACCTTATCATGTTGGAGGGGTTTGAGTGTCCCATTGATCTTAGGAGCTATATCGTCTGGGGCTTTATGCCCCTGGTAGGGTCACCCAATGCAGACAGGTCCTAGATGAGCAACCAGACAAAGCGCAGCCAAAAGACTCCTTATGATGGAGACGAACTTTGGATCTGGTGTTCCCTCGCCTGGACGCGGGTCACTGGGGCACGAGTCTGGAGCCAGGTCTGGAGGTGGGGCACGATGGCGAGCGCCTAATGGCCAGGCTTTTACCCACGGAGCCCGGCCGAGCTCAGCCCGAAGAGGAGACGTGGCTCACCACCTGTTGGAGGGGACAAAGGGGTCAGGTGCAATATGTTACGGGCGGCAGCTGAGGGAGGGGGGAGGGGACCCTGGCGGTCTGATCCTCGGCTGCAGAAGCTGGCTCTTGAGATGTAGAACATCACCTCTCTCGTGGGGAAGGAGCCGGAGCTAGTGTGCGAGGTTGAGAGGTTCCGGCTAGAAATAGTCGGCCTCACCTCGACGCATGGCTCTGGTTCTAGAACCAGTCTCCTTAAGAGGGGCTGGACGTACTTCCACTCTGGAGTTACTCACGGTTAGAGGTTTTGGGCAGGAGTGGGCATACTTGTTGCCCCCCATCTTGTCACCTCTACGTTGGGGTTTACCCCAGTGAACGAAAGCGTAGCCTACCTCCGCCTACAGGTGGGGGGACGGGTTTTGACTGTTGTCTGTGCTTACAGGCCGAAGAGCAGTTCAGATTACCCACCCTTCTTGGAGTCCTTAGAGGGGGTACTGGAGAATGCCCCTCCTAGGGACTCTCTTGTTCTACTGGGGAATTTCAATGCTCACGTGGTCAATGACTGTGAGACTTGGAGGGGCGTTGTCGGAAGGAACATCTCCCCTCCCCCGATCGGAACTTGATTAGTGTTCTGATGTTGGACTTCTGTGCTCGTCACGGATTGTCCATCACGAACACCATGTTCAGGCATAAGGGTGTCCATATGTGCATTTGGCACCAGGACACCCTAAGCCGCAGTTCTATGGTCGATTTTGTCGTCGTTTCATCGTCGTTTCGTCTTGGACACTCGGGTGAAGAGAGGTGCAGAGCTGTCCACTGACAGCTCCACTGTCCACTGACAGCTGTCCACTGACCACTACCTGGTAGTGGTCACTACTACCTGGTAGTGGTTAGTGGACAGTTGGGCTGGGCTCCAGTTTGGGCTCCAGTGGTGGGGGAGGAAGCCAGTCAGACATGGCAGGCCCAAACATAGTGAGGGTCTGCTGGGAACATCTGGCGGAGTCCTCTGTCAGATGGAGCTTTAACTCTCATCTCCGGCAGAACTTCGAAGGTGGGGGACATGGAGTCTGAGTGGACCATGTTCCGTGCCTCCACTGCCGAGGCGGCTTATCAGAGCTGTGGCTGCAAGGTTGTTGGTGCCTGTCGCGGCGGCAACCCTCGAATCCGTTGGTGGACACCTTCAGTGAGGGATGCTGTCAAGCTGAAGAAGGAGTCCTATCGGGCCTTTTTGGCCTGTGGGACTCCAGAAGCAGCTGATGGGCACTGGCGGGTGAAGCAGCATGCAGCTCGGGTGGTCGCGGAGGCAAAAACTCGGGCGTGGGAGGAGTTTGGAGAGGCCATGGAGAAAGACTTCTGCAAAGCTTCGAGGCGATTCTGGTCCACCATCCGGCGTCTCAGGAGGGGGAAGCAGTGCAGCACCAACACTGTTTATAGTGGGGATGGTGTGCTGCTGACCTCAACTCGGGACGTTGTGGGTCGGTGGGCGGAATACTTTGAAGAACTCCTCAAACCCACCAACATGCCTTCTGTTGAGGAAGCTGAGCCTGGGGACTCTGGGTTGGGCTCTCCGATCTCTGGGGACAAGGTCGGCGAGGTGATTGAGAAGCTCCTCAGTGGCAGGGCCCCAAGGGTGGATGAGATCCGGCCGGAGTTCCTTAAGGCTCTGGATGTTGTAGGGTTGTGTCAGCTCACGCAACTCTGCAATATCGCATGGACATCGAGGGCAGTTCCCCTGGATTGGCAGACTGGGGTGGTGGTCCTCCTGTTCAAAAAGGGGGACCGAATGGTGTACTCCAATTACAGAGGGGTCACACTCTTAAGCCTCCCTGGTAAGGTCTATTCAGGGTTCTTGGAGAGGAGGGTCCGTCGGATAGTCGAACCTCGGATTCAGGAAGAGCAGTGTGGTTCTGGTCGTGGATCACTGGACCAGCTCTACACCCTCAGCAGGGTGCTGGAGGGTGCATGGGAGTTCGCCCAACCAGTCTACATGTGTTTTGTGGACTTGGAGAAGTGCGTTCGACCGTGTCCGTAGGGGGATCTTGTGGGGGGTTCTCTGGGAGTATGGGATACCGGGCCCTTTGATACGGGCTGTCAGGTCGCTGTATGACCAGTGTCAGAGTCTGGTCCGCATTGCCGGCAGTAAGTCGGGCTCGTTTCCGGTGAGAGTTGTACTCCATAAAGGCTCCCTTTCGTCACCGATTCTGTACATTACTTTCATGGACATAATTTCTAGACACAGCTGAGGTGTTGAGGAGATCCGTTTTGGTGGCCTTAGGATCGCATCTTTGCTTTTCGCGGATGATGTGGTCCTGTTGGCTTCATCAGATCGTGATCTGCAGCTCTCGCTGGAGCGGTTCGCAGCCGAGTGTGAAGCAGCCGGGATGAGGATCAGTGCCTCCAAATCCGAGGCCATGGTCTTGAGCCGGAAAAGGGTAGAGTGCCTTCTCCGGGTCAGGGGGGGTCGTCCTGCCTCAAGTGGAGGAGTTTAAGTATCTGGGGATCTTGTTCACGAATGAGGGAAGAAGGGAGCGGGAGATCGACAGGCGGATTGGTGCAGCGGCTGCCGGGAAGCGGGCGCTGTACCGGTCCGTCGTGGTGAAGAGAGAGCTGAGTCAAAAAGCGAAGCTCTCGATTTACCGGTCGATCTACGTTCCCACCCTCATCTATGGTCATGATCTTCAGGTCATGACCGAAAGAACGAGATCACGGATACAAGCGGCCGAAATGGGTTTCCTCCGCAGGGTGGCTGGGCTCTCCCTTAGAGATAGGGTGAGAAGCTCAGTCATCCGGGAGGGACTCAGAGTAGAGCCGCTGCTCCTCCACGTCAAGAGGAGCCAGTTGAGGTGGCTCGGGCATCTGGTCAGGATGCCTCCTGGACGCCTCCCTGGTGAGGTGTTCCGGGTGAGGAACCATAACTGATTTAATGAGCCATTCGCAGTTTCACTGTACCAGCCGTGTGTACTTAAACATGCATGGCTTAATCTTTGAGCCAAGCATATGCTACTGGGAGGATCAACCAGGTAGACCCCCGCGAATGACGTGCCTCCGCCGGCGTCAGAGGCCTTCCCCGAGGCCTCCTCCCGGGGAGCACCAGCGTGTCTCCCCAGCGCTGGGGAAGACCCAGGACACGCTGGAGGGACTATGTCTCTCGGCTGGCCTGGGAACGCCTTGGGGTTCCCACAGAGGAGCCGGAACAAGTGGCTGGGGAGAGGGAAGTCTGGGCCTCCCTTCTGAAGCTCCTACCCCCCTGACTCGACCCCGGATAAGCAGAAGAAAATGGATGGATGGATGGATGGATGGATGGATGGATGGATGGATGGATGACTAAGATAGTCAACCTATTGTTTTTGTCAGTTTAAGTTTCTTCATTGTTTTAATAATAACAATAACAATAATAATAATAATAATAAAATAGTACTTATGAACTAAATACTATTTTTCTGTATTGATAAGAATTTGTCAGCTGATAATGAACCTCAGATATTTGTATCGTATCGGAAGTGAACAAAGTGGATCGGTTCATCCCTAGTTCAAACTTAGCTGAATGTTTGCATGACTGTGGGTTTTAAAAATTTGACCTTGACAGTGACATATGATGATTCTGCCAAGTTTCCATTTCGAATGATGTCCAGGGAGAATTTTCCCTGCTCCTCACATGATGAGAACTCAGGAAGAGAAAACTCCACCCTACTCCATTGGAATTCAAGGCTGCAAAGACAAGGAACATGCATGGAGAAAACACAAGAGCTAATTTAGTCTATCACCTAAAATACCAGATTGAAAGTGAAACAGAGCATAACTTACATGTGAGAGGGCCCCATGTTGCCTAAAGGATCAGACACTTTGAACTCCAGGCTGTCTGACAGATACTCACCATGCGAATGGATAATATAGGCTATAGTTCTTTTGTTAAGCTCTATCTGAGGGAAACGCTCTGACACAAACATACCTGTGAAGAACAGTGAAAGAGTGTTACGTTATCTGAATGAAGCTGCAGGGCTGCAGATCAACTGGTCGTTTTTATACCCTTGTTCTTCAACCACTGTGGATTAATTCATTTTTTTGTACTTTTTAATGACAATGATAAATGTAGTACAGTTAGACACCTGCTGATTCACCCAATTGTACATTTTTCTATGTAACATATGGGGTTCCATTTATAAAGTCACAGTCAAAAGTTAACAGCCGTAATTTGGATTATTAAGCCAGTCATATTTTCGTCATGTTATCTGCAAGCTAATGAAACATTTAGTTTGAAATACTTAGCTCCAGTTTAAATTTTTAGCTCAAAACTAAATATTTAGTTAGCAAGCTAAATATTTAGCTCCAAACATATTCAGTGAGTAAGCTAACTAAATATTTAGCTAGCTCATAATTTTGCTAGCTCAGAGCTAGCTAAATACTTGAGAGCTCCAGATTGTGTGACAGAAACTCCTCATGTGAATTCACAATATTGGCTATTGTTCTTTTGGTAAGCTCAGCCTGAAGGGAGAACTTTGGCATATTTAGCTAACTGAATATTTGACAAATATTTATCTAGCTCAAAGCAACTAAGGCAGGACCACTATTTATTTCCGTAAGTCTGGTATAAAAAAACAAACTGAAAAGTACAAAATGGCAGCGAGGGGAAAAGACAAGCATCTAGATGCAGGGCAGGTAATAACACATAATTATTCTGACCTGTGGTAATGTTTTCAAGGTAGCCAAAATATGGTGGACGAACAATGCAGAATATCAGCTCTTCTTCTCTGCTACCACTATCCTGAGCCTTCAGCTCTTGAGAAGTCACAAAAATCACATATCTGCCATCGGGTAAAAGCTCTGGTTTCCAAAGTGGGACTAGCCTTATTACTTCTGGTGAAGATTTATCCAAAGGCTTGATCTGAAAATAGACGGACGTTTGAGGCTAATTGGGAAGCTTTTAGAACTCTACATTGCTAACAAATTACACATATGTGGTACAAAAATCACATTAAGTTGCAAACTGGGTCCATTATCCCCCACCTGAATGGTGAAAAACACAGGCTCTGTTTGCAGCTGTCCATCAAGCAGAAAGCCTCGTCTGGAGGAGTCGGATGCTGTAAAAGCAAATCGGTCAATCTGTGATGGTCCTCCATCATGTCTATATGTTACCTCCAGCTCCTTTATATGTTTCTGTGTGAAGTTTGAGCCAGCAGTCAGTGTGACACCGGCTAGTACCAGCTTCCCGTACTGTGGAGGCTGTCGCAGAACAAAAGTCAGAGCACTGGGTGGAGTGTCAGGGTCAGATAAGGAGAGGAGTTCTGGACCAAGGCTCCTGGCAGAACCTTGTGGGACCTGGAGACCTTTGTTGGACGTTAGCGATGGCAGAACACGATCCACAATTTCCACGCACAGCTCAAAGCTTCCAATTCGGTTAGTCTTACCGTTGCTTATAACAAACCTGTGAAAACATGCAACAGAATGGGTGTTAGCTTACACAATCTGGCAAAACACAAACTTACCAAAGCAGTCTAGTTCTTTGACTGAAACCTATGTACGGTTAGTTCAAAGCGAAAATATATTCTCTATGTCTGGACTGGAGTGTTGTCATAAAATTACAAGTAGTTAATTAGTTAGCTAGCCCAGACTCATTATACAAGAAAACTACAATCAGCCTACAGTTTAGCTTATTATCCAGTCCAGTATTTACATTGCTTATTAATATGGTCTGTTAAAATGTTTCTTTTTTGGGGCCACGGACACAAAATGCTTTCTTACAAATTATTTATAAGTTGTGGAGGCTTCCTCATTGGTTCCAACTGAGAGCTATTCATCAATCCCATGAGACGTCTTAATTAGTCAACTGTGATCCACAACGGCAACTGAAAGAGTATTGACCCCTTCACAGGTTTTTGCTACTTTGTCATATTTGAGTACTTCAAATCATCATATACATTCTAATATCATCCAAGGCAACAGTACTACAGTACATGGGCGGAAATCCCAGGAAGGGTCGGGGGAGTGCGGACCCCCCCAATCTTGGAAAAGTCTAGAATTGGACCCCCCCCAAGAAAAAAATCAGAAAATAAACCCTTGTATTTAAACGGTATCAATATGAAAAGGCCAAAGAAACAAAGAATGAAGTAAATCTGCCATTCATCAAAGAAAAAATAAATAAATACATTTGTAGGTCCACCCCAGCCATTGTTAGAACAATTGTTCAGTCCAAAATGTATGAGTGGTACAGGCTCCGTCAGAGTGAAGTGAGGAGCCAACTGTGACTCTGCAGCACAAAAAAATCCCTTCAGTAAGTAAATACTTAAAGCAAAAGACAAGTAACACCTTTGATTTACTTTCACTGCTCAATAGGAAGAAACACATTAACAGTAGAAATTAGGTTGCAGTTCATCATTTTATTACCGTATTTTCTGCATGATAAGGCGCACCGGATTATAAGGCACACCTTCAATGAATGGCCTATTTTAAAACTTTTTTCATATATAAGGCGCACCGCATTATAAGGTGCTTAGAAGAGATGCTACAGTAGAGGCTGAAGTTACATTATGCATCCACTAGATGGAGCTGCACTAAAGTGAATGTCAACAAAACAGTCCGACTCCAGTTGGTGAGGAGAGCCTTCCGCGACTGGGCCGGCGTGTGACCGGACAATGGTCACCCTTTTCCGTTCGCGCACAGCATGTTCGTGGAGAACATGGTGCTAAATGACCTGCAGGCGACCTGATTCTAGACGGTCGGTATACCTACCGACCGTCTAGATAGGTCAGTCAGACTTTATTAATAGATTACAAACCAGCATTCTGACAACTATCCCAACATGCACCGCGCGCTTCTTCTTCTACGGGCGAAAATGAAGTCGGCAGCTGCTTACCGTAGTTGCTAGAACTGTTGTGGCTCAATATTGGTCCATATATAAGGCGCACCGGATTATAAGGCGCACTGTCGGCTTTTGAGGAAATTCAAGGTTTTTAGGTGCACCTTATAGTGCGGAAAATATGGTACTTCGGCTGAATCATGATAAATAAAAACTAGCAAGGTAGCAAATATCTCAATTATATAAGAGTTATCCCTTTAACTCTTATGTTAATGAGAAGAATTTGAAACGGGAGGGACTAAGCACTGCAACTAGTTGACAGCTCACTGTGTGGGAGCCGAGACCAGAGGGATAGAGAAAAACAGAAATGTATGCTTTTACCCATCTTCAATATAGAGCCTCTAAAATAACACGCACACACAAAAATCTGGATATTTTTCTATAAAAACTCTGGTGCTTTGAGCATTAAGTTTAAGTTATGATACTTCCAAAACCTTTGTTATCTCTACTAGGGATACTCGGATCAGGTTTTCTGCTGCCGATTCCAATACCAATCACCAATGAGGTCGATCTCTGCCGATCACCTGGATTGACTGTTATTTTTTTTGTTTTAGGTATAAATGCTACTATGTGGTCTGACAAAATTAAAAAATGATCTGGCAATAAATTCACCTAATTTAGGCATAAAACATGCAAAATACTTGCAGGCATAATACAGCAGCTATTCAGTCAAAAGGATAACTGAAAAACCTGTTATCAGAAAAGCTATCTAAACACCAACATGGCCCTATATTAAAAAAAAAGAAAACAAACAAACAAACAAAAAACACCCTAAACATCATAACTCTGTCACCCTTGGCAAAGATAGCTGTTTTAGAGTCATTACCACCACAACTGGTAGAGTCGTTTCCATCATTTTCCTTGTGACATTACCGTAAGTAAGTTTCAGTCGAGAGACATAGTCTTTCCAGCATGTCCTGGGTCTTCCCCGGGACTCCCTCCCGGTGGAACGTGCCCAGAACACCTCACCAGGGAGGCGTCCAGGAGGCATCCTGACCAGATGCCCGAGCCACCTCAACTGGCTCCTCCTGACGTGAAGGAACAGCGGCTCTACTCTGAGTCCCTCCCGGATGACCAAGCTTCTCACCCTATCTCTAAGGGAGAGTCCAGCCATTTCCCATTTCGGCTGCTCGTATCCGTGATCTCGTTCTTTTGGTCATGACCCAAAGCTCATGATCATAGATGAGGGTGGGAACATAGATCGACCAGTAAATTGAGAGCTTTGCTTTTTGACTCTTCACCATGACGGACCAGCACAGCGCCCGCTTCACAGCAGATGCTACACCAATCTGCCTGTCGATCTCCCTCTCCCTTCTTCTCCCATGTGTGAACAAGATCTCAAGATACTTAAACTCCTTCACTTGGGGCAGGACACCCACCCTGACCCAGAGAAGGCACTCTTCCCTTTTCCGGCTCAAGACCATAGCCTCGGATTTGGAGGCACTGATCCCCATCCCCAATAGGACCACATCATCCCCAAAAAGCAAAGATGCGATCCTAAGGCCACCAAAACTGATCCCCTCAACACCTTGGCTGCGCCTAGAAATTCTGTCCATGAAAGTAATAAACAGAATTAGTGACAAAGGGCAGCCTTTATGGAGTACAACTCTCACCAGAAATGAGTCAGACTTACTGCCGGCAATGCGGACCAGACTCTGACACCGGTCATACAGGGACATGACAGCCCGTATCAAAGGGCCCGGTACCCCATACTCCCGGAGAATCCCCCACAAGGCCCCCCTGGGGACACGGTCGAACGCCTTCTCCAAGTCCACAAAACACATGTAGACCGGTTGGGCGAACTCCCATGCACCCTCCAGGACCCTGCTGAGGGTGTAGAGCTGGTCCAGTGTTCCACGACCAGGACGAAAACCACACTGCTCTTCCTGAATCCGAGGTTCAACTANTGGTAAGGATGCCTCCTGGACGCCTCCCTTTTTTATTTAAGTTCATGACCGAGAATGTCTTCTCATACAAATACGTCGACCCAAACAAGATTAGCATTTTCTTTCCAAATGCTCGAATCTCTCGAAACCTGTCGGTAAAAGTTGACGAGAGAAAGCTGCTGGTGCCGACCGTGGCTCTCTGCGTCACTCTGCAGCTCAATGAGCTCCATCTGCAAATGGTCTGAGTCACACGGGCTGCTGCCCTCTAGTGGGTAAATGAGGAACGGCATTTAGTGTGTTAGCTACGCCCTATGCAGGTAACAGTACTGCTGCCCAATGTATTAATTCTATGTGCGGGCCAGACGTTATTGATTTTATGACAGAGGCTGCGGGCCGGATGAAATTTGACCACGGGCCGCATTTGGCCCCCGGGCCGGACTTTGGACATGTCTGCCCTAGAGTAATCCCCCAGAAATTGCTCTGTGGGAGGGGTGAGGGTAATTAGAGCAGTAGACAGATACGCAGTTGAAGTTGGAAGACCAGAGTTAAACTCCCACTGATGTCCACCTTTCTCAGGCTAGTTTCACATGCTTGTATCATAACTGGGACATGTTTAGCAAAATACAGGTGGCTCTAGTTACCCTTGTGGTGGAATCTAAGAATGAAACTTACACAGAAAAAAATACATAATGAACTTTAGCACAATGTCTGCAGCTGTGACTTACATGTGGAAATAACTTGAAATGAACTATTCATATAGTTAATTTCAACTATGTGAAATGAACTATGATCTTCTTGTGTTTTCAGGAAGAAAACACAAAAAGATCTCATGAAGATAAATTGGACTACATTCACTTTTCAAAATGTAAAAATTGTTAGAGTGACAACGCAAATTGAGTCCTGTTGTCATTAGCGCTTCTTAAAGAGTAAAACTTCTAAAAAATAGTTTAGCAATATAACTGTTCGAAATGCAATATTGTACCACTTTTTTCAGCAACTGGGAATTATACGGAGAAAAAGTGATACATAGAACAGGACACCTGAAAGAAGATTCTGAACAGTTTTATTAAAGTTCAGGTTGTGCAAACCCTACTGGCTTCAGGAAACCCCATATAAACCCTTGCCTTGTTTTACATTCCTGTAGTAGAACTTTAATATTATTTGGGTAGCTTCCAGATTTACTATCAGTTAATAGTGGCCTGAAGAAATCTCACAAATAAATCTTTGCTTCCCCAGAATTGCTCTCTACTAACAAACATTCCATGTAAACAATTTTTTTTGAAAATTTGTTTAATCTAGGATTTCCTATATTCATTATATTCACCCAGAAACTTAAACTGTAAAACCAAGCAAGCTTGCATGAGTTGCACTGCAGTGAAATATGCCCCACGCTGTAAACAGTAAACAGTAATTTATTGTATGACATTTAGCTACAAGTCAGTCTGTGATCTTTGATGGTCAGAGCCGATATGATAAAATGACATTTTGCTAAGGAGAGTAATAGATTTTCCACCCTAGATTAATTTTTTGGAGATGTTAATTAACATGTCTGTATGAATATATTTATCCCTTTGGATGCTTTCCAAAATAAAGTTGACCACAATCAGTCAGAGGGATGCCTTACTGTGGCACAGATTGGCAGTCATTCATTTGTCACCAATCACTATGAATGATATCACAGTCACAGTTCTCCATTATAGAAGTATTAATGTCCACTAATAACACAGCCTTGGGAAGTAATTTACTGGTTTATTGCAAGGTCAGATTGGAGTCTAACTGGTGTCAAACATATTTACTAATAAACAGTATATTTGAAAAATACAGCAGTCTCAACTTGGTTAAGAAAGGAATCTCTTCCTATAGTTAACATTATTATATTACATTATACCCTTGCAGCTCTTTTCTGCTTTTGCTTTTTTGTCATTGAAATATTTCAGATTAGAACAGAAATTATAACATTAAAGACAACCTGAGTAAATATAAAAATTTGAATCCAGCAGGTTTCTTGTGCACCCATTGTGTGGATAATGGTGTACTGCAGGACTGTTGGGCTTGGGAGGTGTAGTCTAATGACAAAGGGTTAGATCTGGTACTCTCCTCTCCATCCAATCAGAGGTGGTGTTGTCAGCCAGCACTTCTGGAGCGAGTCGGCTCCAGTCTAGACTCTTTGGTTCTTTTGGTTGCAGTGTCTGCAGAATATGTGAACATTCCTCCAACGTCTCCTATCTGTGATTAAAACTCACTCTTGTCAAGGTGTGGCATTTCAGTTTCCCATGAGTACTCTCTCACACCATCATTGATGAGGTAGGTTACTGGTCCAAGCCATTTCACGATGATTGCCCTTAACAAGCTCTCCTTTCCCTCCCAGAAATTTCTGACACGCACCCAGTCTCCTAGCAGCAGGTGCTGTAATTTTGTAGCCACCTCATTATGGCAAGTCTTTTATGTATTTTGTTTTTCTTCCACAGCTCTCTATAAGTGGGCTTCAGCAGGGTAAATCTAGTCTTCAAGTAATGCTTCAAAAGCAGCTCTGCTGGTGCAACTCCAGTCACTGGATGGTAGGGCTGTATAATTTTATCGATTCTACAATACCTATCGATATTTTCCACCCTCGGAATGTATCGATTTTTCATCCGCGAGTATCGATACCTTAGACCATAGTGTCCATAGCCTTATAGCTCTTTTTAACATCTGGTTTGTTACGGCGTAGCCTCTCCCAGTCTCACTTTCAACTTGTGCTTAAAGTGAACATTATAAACTACACACCAGTTTTCAAATTGTTAATAGGCCAAGTAAAACCGGAGTTATGCTAAAATTAGTAAACCATATTTTTCCAAATGTCAGAGAATTGTCAAAAGCGCTGCCATTCCCCGGCTTTTCCGGATATGTGAAAGGGAATGAGCTTCCAAACGTAAAAAACAACCGAAACGCAACATTAGATTTCTTTTTTTTTTTTTTTTTGGGAGATCTCAAATCTTCAATAAATAACAATGGCCTGTATTTTGTTACTGGGAGACGAAAGAGAAGCGGAACGGAGTAGCGGCGCGAACGGAGCAGCTGCAAAAACAGTGAGATCGCGAAATTAATGCAAGGTTCGACTGGTGTCATCCATTTCGTAATTTGTTTTTAGCTTAGTGGTCTCTGTTCTGTATATAAAGAATTACCTGAAGAATGAACACGCAGCACATGGGTTGATAACATCCGAAGCGGGTGCGTAGCAGGCAGCGGCGCTGTGTTTTGAGCAGGAAGACGAAGAGGGGAAACCCGCAGCCGGAATCCGCGGCACAGTGAGGATTTCCATGATAAAGATGGCTGATCGATCATTCTTATTAGCAACTGACAAAGAGTATCAGAGACTGAGAGTACGATGAGATCCTGGCAGTCTTAGAGGCAGCTTCTCAGAGATCCAAGCAAGGGAATTGCGGCACTGCGCAGCTGCAAGGAGTCGATCACTACGGGGTGTGGCGGAGCCACTCTCCCATCAGCTAGAAGTAAGCAGCTTACTGCCAAGGCTAACTCCGGGAGCCAAGGTAGAAAAAGCCTTTTCCCTATAGTCCAAAAGACTTTTTTTACTCCAAAATGGAGCCACAGTATGTCGAAAAGAAAATATTTGTATATTGAGTGTCTACAGAGACTGATAATCTCCTCACTCAGCTCCTGGATCACTGTTGAAACTTTGAGTTTTATGTCAAATCCACATGAATTAAATGACAGAAACTAATTTTCTCATTGCATCTTTGATTCATTTTGTCCAGCTGTAGACTGTTAAGACTCTGTCCAGTCAGGTGCTTTTAATCAGTTTTCAGTTAATTAAATTCAAGTCAATGGAACACAAAATGTCACTAAAATCACTCCTAAAATCTTTCAGAAAATCATAAAAATGCATTAAATCGTATCGAATTATATCGCTTTCCAAATATCGTGATACATGTGATAATATGTATTGTCATACATATCATACATACATACATGCATATCATACATATTGTGTATCAGAATGTATATTCATATATCATATATTCACGATATTCGCGATCAGAATATCGTGTATCGTATCGTGAGATTGTATCGTTACACTCCTACTGGATGCGTTGTGCTTCTGTACATCAACAGGAAGTTTGTCAGCTTATGTTGCAGGGACATGGTTAATTGCTCAGCCTCATCTGCCAGAAGTTTCTGCACTGATCATGTTATTGCAAATTGCGCTTAAATCAATATTTAAAATGCTTTTCTAAACAACAGTGTTGGAAGATGTCAGTGATTTTAGTGAAACTTTTAATAACACAGCACTGAAAGGCACTGTGGCTAAAGCTACTGCTAGCTGGTTTACTCTCCGATCGGAGGCTGGTTCCTTTGAATATAGTTGGAGAATGGTAAATTGACAATGACTAATAACGGCTATCTAACACTCAAATGCTGTTTTATTTATACAGAAAGTGAATCTCTAAACGTTACAGCACTGACAGACAGCGGTGTATATATTTTCCCAACTGTGGCTAAAGCTGCTGCTAGCTGGTTTACTCTCCAATCAGAGGTTGTTTATTATATACACAGTCAGAGAATGGTGGATTGACAATGAGTAATGACGGTTATCTAACACTTAAATGCTGTTTTATTAAAGTTGATAAATAAAGTGAATCTCTAAACGTTACAGCACTTACAGAATGGTGTATATTTTTCTTAACTGTGGCTAAATCTGATGCTAGCTGGTTTACTCTCCGATAGGAGGCTGGTTCCTTTAAATACAGTTGGAGAATGGTGAATTGACAATGACTGATAAAGGCTAACATGTAAATACTGTTTTATTACAGTTAATACAGAAAGTGAACCTTTTAACGTTACAACACTGACAGACAGCGGTGTATATATTTTCCCAACTGTGGCTAAAGCTGCTGCTAGCTGGTTTATTCTCCGATCGGAGGCTGTTTATTTTATACACAGTCAGAGAATGGTGGATTGACAATGAGTAATAACAGCTATCTAACACTTAAATGCTGTTATTATTAACCTTACCTTTTATTATATCCTTAAGATAATGAGTATCCATGAATTTTTCAGTCAGGTTTCCCGAGGCAAAATCACACCGGAAGTAAAGATACATCGCTTCGAGTTATGGCGGCCAATGTCTGACGTCACTGTGAAAAGGGTCTCTGTAGCTTTCGGTGTACTTCTAAATCTGCTCCTTAGTAGCATATTTTCGGGTCTGCTACTGCCTCTAGTGGCGTGGGGGTGGAAACACAACTAATATAATTACATTACTAAATCAGAATACCGCAAAGTCTTTATTTAT